ATAGCGCAGAAAATTGCCCGAATACGTCGCAGCGTACGTTTTCGCTCAAATGTATGAATACTTTTCACGATAAAATTGCCTGGACACATTTTCTGCACAAGAAAAGCACATTTCCTTAAAGTGGCTGGACGAGCGAGCAAAACGCGCAAAGTTGAAGACGTGCGAGAATTCTCAAGTTAATTTCTGCCACCAGCATTCTTGAGATAGGTCACGTACCATGCATACCCGGCAAATTAATCGTTTGCACCAAGAGCCTGCGGGCTTCGATGATTACAGAAAGAAGGAGGCTCATTCAGTGACTGAGTTAGTCATAGGGGTTTCGGCTGCGTATTATCAGTCTCGTTCACGTTATCATTCTTACAATCTTTCGACGTGCTATTCCTCTGCATTTTATGCATGCAAGGTGTTTTGTGGGCTTAATTCGGCGCTGTACCTCCAGTTCCGGTGGTCACCTCCTCAAGTACTGACATGCGAGTGTCCACAACGATATGTTGCTCGAATGTTCGCTCGCAGTGGAGATAGGTCGGTTTCATTTTACATAACTGGAGACATGGGTTTTTGGCTCACACTGCTAGTCTGCATTTCCTCCCGGTATGTCGTATGGATCCAATTGTACATCTCCAGTAAGACGCTGACTGCCAAGTCCTCTTTTCAAAACATGCTTCACGATCTTCGCACTGTCCCAAAAGACGATGTCCGTCGCGTACCCCACGGAATGGGCCGTGCCCATGACTAAGTTTGTGGAGTCGCAGACTTGCCCTTAACTTACGCCCTTCTTACTAACATAACCGGTCTTTTCCGATGGCAGTGTGACCGGAGGTGCGTTCGGAGGGCAGTGATGGACATATATAAACGGCCTGTCTATTCCCGCCACATAATCTGGTCAAGACAACTTGGATCAGATGCTCTCAAGTTTAACTCAGATCTCAGTGCGTGATAGTGCCATGAAGGTCACATTAGTAAAGAGTCGTTGCTGTTTGACCCTCAGCCCATCAGATAATTCGAAATACTCCAATGGGGACCAAGCTATCTCGTTAGCTGATAATTATCTAAGACAACACGCTTAGCCCGTCCCCATAGACTTTAGTACGTCAGATTTAAAATAGTGAAAAACGCATTGGTGTGTCGTTAGAATACGTTCCTCTGGGTCGGTCCCATTCTCGTCTTTTCCGCTCCCATGCACCAGGCGACTGCCAAAGTTGCTTTTCGGCGCAGTGTCTGGCAGAACAATACAGGCAGTCTACGCAGGCTACTGGTAACCAATTTTTATCCCAGGACACACCATGGACTCGCTTTTCACGTCTGTGGTGTGCACTGGCTTTGGCAGGTCTCATGAGGTCCGCCAACCCGGAAGACTGTGAAGCGGGCCACAGGATTACTGGTTGAAAGGCGTACCAGGTTACAGCGCTTGGCGACTGATGTGGATCTTGACTATATGTTTTACAGGGATGAATGGACTCGCAGGGTGAGGAGCGACGATGGGGTCTAGACAAGGATTAATAAGGCAATATTCAGGTTAGGCAAGATTTTTTGGTAAAACTCGCCATTTCAATTTACTTTTTTCTCGTATAAATACAGCTATAAACGCGTAAACCTGCTTTAGGACAGTCATATGCGCAGTAAATCCCCAGAATATAAGTTCACATGTCTAAGCGGTACACCAAAGAACATTATGTGAGAAAACGACACTTTCGGAACGAATTATGCGCATGCAAAACTGCATAATGCATGAAGTACCTCAGAGAGATCATTTGGCTTACCGTTAACACGATTCATGAGTTACGCTAAGCGCTGCATGTGCGTGTATTTTAAAAGAGAAAGTTTAGCGCAAACTCGAGTTGTATTCGTGGATTTTTCAGCTGGTGACACCAAGTCGTCGTCAGGTGGATTAAACCGAGGCGAAAGTGAAGTCGGGAGACTGGACTGGTTGGCGCTATGGGACAGACAGCTGGTGTGTGAGAGGGTCACACACTAATTTATAACAAACATTGAGACAGTGAAAAAAGAACAAACTGTTGCGGCTCTATGTGCCGGAGGGGGAGGGGATGGCGGATAAGCGGGAATGCGGGCGGCTTGGATGAGGTCAGTAGTAAGGGCGCCAAGACTGGAGGTTTTTCTAGTTTGGATTGTAGTTCGTAAGTTTGGAGGAACTGCGTGGCGGTACAGTGCAATTCTACATAACCGAGTTGGGATTCACAGTTTCTGATAGGGAATGGGCACACTGTAGTGACCTATGCGCGTAAACACACGCAATGAACGTCCAGATCGACACGGTGATTGATATTGGTTGTATTAGGATGCCAATCTTCGAATAACTCTCACTTTCGTTTGATGTTGGTCATGGAGATCACTTCAACAGATTTGCAAATTAAGCGGTGTGCAGGCTCAAGAATGGGTGCAGACATGATAGAGGGGGTTATGTTGGCGGAGGGCTAGCTTATTTTAGTTTATGGGAGTCCCAAGACGTCGGCCTGTATGGCCAACATGAACACGAAAGCAGGTGGCGCACGGGATACAGTAAATGACATTGGTTAGTTTCTCCTTTGGTATGGAGTGCTTTATTCAGCATTTTGTTGCGCGTAGGTAGATTGCGGACTTCTGGAAGTTTGAGATGTCAAAACGCTTTATTTGTCGGGAGATTTTTCAGACGTTCCTTGCATGTAAGACAGGGCATAGAATTATTACGGCGCTCTATTCTTATCAAAATCGAGACTTTTTAGCTGTCGTTGACGTATGATATAATCCTTCACAAAGCTGTTTGGATGTCCGTTGAACCGAAAAAAACGGTATAAGTGCGCCGGTAATTTCTAACGTCGTCCATCGCTGCTGCAGTGATAGAAGACGTGATGGAAAACGGTCCGGATGCAGCTTCTTTTAGAGGCTGCAGTTATTTGCTCCATAGCTGAGGAGGATTTCATCAGTAGTCCTTTCGGTGGAAGCTTGCTTCGAGTCTCATATCATCGAGTCATCGGGTGGATATCTCCTTTTGTCTTGATGCGAGTTAATTACATAGCTGGGAAGACACCATTCAGGCCGTGATATGAGTCCTAAGCTTCCTGCGGTCTTTTTGTTACCGAACGTGTAACCATCGTAGGTGAGTCACATTCCTGTTCCGAAAGTTTGTAAGCATTTTCTTCTAGTCGATGTAAAACCAGTTCTACAGGTTGCTTCAATATTTGTCGGTTCTTCGAGATGCGCTTAACCCGTTGATGACACTTGCCATCCAATTAACAATTGTTTTTGGGGCGGAACATAAGCATGTATAAATTGTAATTTATTGAAATGTTAATAGGATGGTTCTCTGGGCGTCGATTTAATATTTATTTGCCAAGTCATACGATATTGAAGAAAGTAGGATAAAAACACCAGACGATATGATACATTTGTCAGAACATGCTTTAAGCCCTTTAATATTCATCAGCGATGTGCTTAAGGTGTCTGTAAAATCATTTGGTAATGTTATGAGTAGGTGATGCAGTGAGCAACATTATGATCCTTAGTAGCGCATCGGCCTTTGGAACATTTGGAAGAGTGTACGTACATGCGACACGGGGATCGCCGAATGCCATACATCTGGAGTGATGGAGACTTATGTGGTTTAATCGAGCAAGCACATTAACCCTCTTTAGAGCCGCGGCAATCCCCACTGGTGATCACACCGCTGATGCATCGTCACCGCCAACGTCATCGGCCAACACCTCAATCATCTCTTCCGCAGCCCCAGTGACGGCGACGACAACGACTACCACCTGTCTCACTCCTACCACTGGCGAGGAGCCTCCTGACATCCTGGTGCTCACATCAATAATGCAGACCCGATCCAACACCTCCTCCATCGAGATCGCACCTTCACATCATGCACTGGTCTGGTCAGTCACCTGTAAATTCATTGCTTTGAGTCCGGCGAAGCCGCGTCGGACGCCCGACCCACCTCTCTGCACTGATTATGCCCATTCAGTTACCGAATGAACCTTCTCGAAGATATTCGAATCCATGAAAATCTTCGACGAAAAAACGTCGGTAAAAGTACATCAGCACATGCACACCTGTCCCAAATTACTTTCCCCAACATGGAAGAGGCACCTCTAACGTTAAAGGAAAGCGTGTTAATTAGGTCCTTCTTCAGGTGACAACCATGACATTCTAAGGCACGTGCGTCCCGAGTAGCCTATCTGCTTTGAGTAAAAATACAGCGCGTTGTGTTGGAGAGTCAGGTGGTGTGTGGCATGCGTAGGCGGGTTGCTTAACTCGGCCACCTATTGCGTCTCGAAAGCTTGACTGCTATTTATGGGGGGACAGATTGAATTAGACTCTGTGGAATCCGTTCCCACGATGCAAAGTGAATATTAATAGCTTCAGTAGGTGGGCTAACTCATGAAATGTTAACCCGAATTCCGAAATGCGTTTTCGATTCGAAAAGATTACTTTAGTATAGTTCTAAAATTAATCATCGTTCAGCATATTTCTATAACAATCCAGTCACCTCTGGATGCCGGCTTTTGAAAGAACTTCCTCTCGGCTGCATGCAAAGACCATACTCTTTACAAAATGACTTCTTATGTATCATGCGTTTTTCTCATTGATTGTCGATGTCCTTGAAAAGCAAGTTATATTTCATGGAAAACATGCTCAAAAATATTCATTCTTTTTCTCATTCGATAGAAAATCACGTTTTCTTTCTATTTTATATTCGAAAAAAGGATTTAATTAGGTTTAAGAAAACTTTTTTGATTCCCGAACAATTTTGCTGTCGACCTGCCATTACACATGCATTCAGGGTTTCCAAAATACAAGTCGTATATTTTCTGCGTATGAAAACCGTAAATTTTTCTATGGTATTCAGAGGAGATCATATGGGGTTCGTAAAATTTGGTAGTGGATTTGAGCCATATGGTTAACTTTACAAGCCACATTGGTAAATGCAGATAAATGACGTTTTATGAACGGCCATTTCACGGTATTAAACATTCTCACAATTAGAAACGCTTTTAAAACCGAAGTATGTCCTTCCTTCGAGTATAAAATTGAAAGAAGATGTGAATTCCTACCGAATTTGAAAAAAATAGAAAGTTTTATGCATGTTTTCCGTGAAATATAAGTGACCATGACTTCGAACACCTCCGGCCAGTCGGGACACATATTCCCCGATTATATGGTCTACCTAAGATCCATAAGGAAGGCCTACCGGTTCGCCCGATTTTAGATATGCGGAACTCTCCGTATCATGCGATAGCTAAGTGG